GAAAATGGATTCCATGTCAGGCTTTGACATCCGTTTTGTTTTTACTTTTCCGCTCAAAGACAGTACACTGCAGTACAAAAAATGCGTACACCTCTGAAATAACTTTCCTTGCATTAGTACCTTGATATAGTCTATACTTGTACCAGCCGTCTAGTATACCCATTATGTGGTTGAACCAACACGTTTTCTATTACAAGGCAGAATAATATATAGTGTAAATTATATTATACAGTTCTTGTTTAAATTATTAAGAATATTATTGTTTTGTGTGACTGTGAAATATCGTAACAAAATCTGGGAAATATAATTCTTTTTTAAAATCCTTAGACCTTTTTGACTGTAAAATCTGGACAAAAGTTTGTAAAATTCTAATGGAAAAAGAGTAATTTTGTCATAAAATTGGAATAGATGACAATTTTCAATTGAATATTTTTAAATGATATTATACAAAAAGTTCTGAATTTTCAACCTTAAATCAATTTTTAAAATGACTGTTGATGTAGTTTGATGTGTCTGTAATCTAAAGAGGATGTACGCCTAATTCACATCAGAATCCTTTTCCCTTTATCAGATCAATAATAAGGAATATATATCATCCAATTTTACTTTCTTAAAAAGCTAAACATTCTCACAATACCTTTCATAGTCTCTACTACACAAAAATACAATAAAAAAATTTCAGATCGGAAAATAGGGATAATTCAATGATTTTTGCTCTTGGAAAAGGGTTTAAACCGTTATGAATCGGACAATCACGTCATCATTCCCTGGATGATTAAAATTTAAAAAAATTGTTCCAACGAAATTCGATTTTTCATTAAATTTTGAAAATCCACGATTTTTTTTATAAAATCCGAGAATTTTTTTTTCTTTTAAATGTATACAAAGAGAAAATGTTCACAATTGAAATAGAAGCGCCCTGTAAGACTAGTATTTTTACATATTTAATAAAGATAAATAAAGAATTTGTATAAATTCTAGTATTTAAGCAAACAATAGATTTCCGTCTATTTATCAATATAGAAATGTTCAATATATTTTAGCGTATATTGTATCTTAAAGAGAACCTTGATACAAACCAATATAGAAACAGATATTCTTATCTTTTATATTCAGATAGTGTTTCAAACCTATGGCAGGATGAAGAATCTACATTTATATAATATATATATTTCAAAATATCTTATGTATAGGGTGTACTAAAAAGGTTTGGTGCTGTAAAAGCTGAACCCTTTTCAACAATAGTAATTTGGCTTTTTGTTCTTACAATACAATACAGTCTGTATCCGACTGTGCATGCATTTTGATCCACCCTGTAGTTTTAGATCCAGGGATGGGCTTGCCAAATTTCCGTTCCATTCATTCGCATTCAGCCATATTTCAACCTAAACCTTAATACGATCATATTCAAACCTTTATGCATTCTTACTCAGTCATATTCCAACCATTATAAGCCAAATCTTAATACATTCGTATCCAAACCAATAATACAATCGTACTCAGCCGAATTTAAACCTAAACCTTGATACGATCATATTCAAACCTTTAATGCATTCTTACTCAGTCATATTCCAACCATTAAAAGCCAAATCTTAATTCATTCGTATCAAAACCAATAATACAATCGTACTCAGCCGTATTTAAACTTAAACCTTGATACGATCATATTCGATGCATTCTTACTCAATCATATTCCAACCTTTTTAAGCCAAATCTAAATCCATTCGTATCAAAAGCAATAATACAATCGTACCCAGCCGTATTTAAACCTAAACCTTGATACAATCATATTCAAACCTTTGATGTATTCTTACTCAATCATATTCCAACCTTTATAAGCCAAATCTTAATCCATTTGTATCAAAACCAATAATACAATCGTACTCAGTCGTATTTAAACCTAAACCTTGATACGATTATATTCAAACCTTTGATGCATTCTTACTCAGTCATATTTCAACCTTTATAAGCCAAATCTTAATCCATTCGTATCAAAACCAATAATACAATCGTACTCAGCCGCATTTAAACCTAAACCTTGATACGATCATATTCAAACCTTTGATGCATTCTTACTCAGTCATATTCCAACCTTTATAAGCCAAATCTTAATCCATTCGTATCAAAACCAATAATACAATCGTACTCAATCATATTAAAACCTAAACCTTCATCCGATTATATTTAAACTTTAATGAATTCTTACTCCTAACTCTTATTCTGTTCATATCTAAACTATTAATGCATTCTTACTCAATCATATTTAAACCCTACCCTTATTCTGTTCATATTTAAAACATTCTTACTTAATCATATCTAAACCTGTAGTAAATACCTACTCCCTAAAAATCTCTCAACACGTATCTATCCAGAGCTGAAAACTTTAGAATGGTGGATATCAGGGTTAAAGCTTAATCCACTCTTTTTCTTAATCTCCAGATTAAATATTGCTTGTTTACCTCATGACTTTAATCTTCAGATTAATTATCCGACGGGATATCTGGATATTTCATTCTAAAGTTTTCAGCTCAGGTCAGTCCGCTTCTAAATGCCACACAAGGACATAAGAGTAGCTATCAAAATTCAGCAACTAATACAGTGCTCTGGGTGCCACACAATGACACAAGCTTAGCTATCAATAAGCTATATATATATACCGATCCTAAATTATGGGGAAGATCCGCTCTAAATGCCTCACAAGGACACAAGCCTAGCTATCAACAAGCTATATATCAATCCCTAAGTAAAGGGGATGATCAACCTGAATATAAAGACAGGGTTTCATGTTTACTCTCTCGTAGTAAACAGAACAGAGTTTATCTATCAACTGAGGTGTATTTCGTAGTTGATATCAGAATTGGGTCATTAACAGCGTAATTACAAGGTATGCGCTTTTATATATTTAACGCAGTTAACAATCACAATATGGGTATGACGGAGTTATGTATATCTACATACATGGAATGGGTTAATCTCAATACAGAATTTGCGTAATTACTATATGAACAAGGTATGACGTAAATTACAATAGGCCTCAATTTTTGCTACAAACCTAGCCCTTATTCAGTTTATATTTAAACCAATAATGCATGGTCTTTTCATAATCAAACCATGCAAAACGCATTTTTATTCATTCAGAGATGGAATTTAAAGAATTTGAGCCGCGGTTTAAATCCGCCAAAACCCGGTTTGAATTTAGTGCCGGCTTAAATCTTGAAACATTTAATACAATTTTAAGCGGAACCGACCATATTTAAACCGCGGCTTAAATTTAAACCGCCGCTTAAATTCTTTAAATTCGGCCACAGAGCCCGCGATTTAAAAATTCGGTAAAATATGGCTCGGGTCTAAGGTGTGGTTGGGCCTTATTTACGATTTGAGCTTTCGGATTTAAGCTGCATCTTATTTTCCAAAGAGTTGAGTTCAAAAAACCAGTTTAATATTCTATTTGGTGGATTTTCATGGTAGGAATTGGCGCATTCCGGGTTTTTATGAGAACTAGACTTATTCTCCACTAAAACCAACTAAGATCGGTTTTATTTTCATTGGGTCTAACTCCTTAAGTCGTGAGCCTAAGATCTTGCAGCTGTCAATCACATGAATCAGATTGGGGTCTTAAAGTCGGGTTTAAGGGTGTTACGACTCGAGTCGAAGATTTTATATCGCGGGGCCGGGCTCAGGCATAATCAAACCTAGCCTCCCTAAGCCTCAAACCTAAACCTTAGTGTTTATCTTATTTCTCACAATCTTTAATATTATACCCAACCCTTATATTTGCACTCATTTAATTTCAAAACTAATGCATTTTTACTTTCATAATTAACATACAAAACCTTAATTACCCTATCTAAACCTATCTAAACATTTTATATTCAAAATATTTTAGATGTAGTTATTATTGTTATTAAAGAGACTGTTAGTGTAATTTTAAGGGACCCTCCATGCAAAAACGGCAATGTTCAATTCACAACGATAACCTTAAACCTTTATCTCATCAATTATTTAGAAGGGACTGTTGATTTCCTAACATGTTTTGCTGCAGTAGAATTGCACGGGTACCAGTAGAGAAACCGCAATTAAAAATAATCGGTTCTCAAAATTATAATTCATACGAGGGAGGGGGTGCAGAGGCGCCATGATCCCCGCAAAAATGACCAAATGATGGGAGACCAGTTCTGCGGGGCCTGGAGGTAATTCTGCAAATCCTGAGGCTCGGAGGTCATTTTTGCAGGGATCATGGCGCCTCTGCACCCCCTCCCTCTTCATACTTAATGAGGCAATTACCTTTTCAGAGAACCGTTGTGAATCAGGCATTGCCATTTTTGCATGGAGCCTCACTTGAAATTAAGCTTACAGTCCCATTAACTACATATAGATATATTTTGATATTTTTTGGTTAAGCCAATGGCAATAAATTTAAACAAAAAATAAAAACAACAAGCGGAGACCAAAATGCGGGGTGTGGAGACAGAATGGCGGGAGGCTTGGTGACGTCACTGAGGCTGGGAGACCAGTTTTGCGGGGCCTGGAGGTAATTCAGCAAATCCTGAGGCTCGGAGGTCATTTTTGCGGGGATCATGGCGCCTCTGCACCCCCTCCCTCGTACACCTGCAGTATGGAAACAGTACAACAAAATGACCGTTTTACACTTTTTTCTAGTAAATTCCCCTCTAATATATATTCTATTCTCTTTGCCTACCACTGAGCCGGAAACTTAAAAGAGTATCGTTGAATGAAACTCCCGAGTTTCTCTTTTGGGGTTTACAGGTTTGTGTAGATTAAAAGATATCAAAGTAAGCCCAGAAAATGATTATAAAATACAAAATCTACCATATTAAATAGTCCTACAACCAAATCTACAAAATTATTGTACCAAATTCACGAAACCTGGGTTTCGATCAGGTTCCGATACTCTGCCTGTTTTAAATTTCGTGCTCTGTTAACTCCCGATTGTACTCTCATACTGAACTGCCAAAACCGGTTTAAAGCAAAAACAAATAAACTCCAAGAACTTAAAAAACGTCAGTTAGGTGCCACACTGATTCTGCATTCACGTTATATATACAGTTAAATTATGATTAAATTATTATGGTTGTGCATGTTAGTTGTTTTCTCTAATGGTAATCAGCTCGACAAATTAATCAGTTTTGTCAAGGGGGGAGCAAACCCTGCTGGCAGCTCTACAATACCCCAATCTCCCTCTAGCTTTGCACCCAGAGCAAACCAAGCTGAGATAAATACTGCTCCAAGAGCACAATTCCAGATCGTTGCTCCTATTCCATTCTCTGAGGTGGCAGATCCGAATAGAAGAGTTGTTGATATTGATGTCCCTCAACCAAAAAATACAGGTTTTTATCTAATTCAAAGCTGCACTTGAGTTTCGTCATAGATTCACAAAATTATTCTTAAACCCTTTAAATCAAAATTTTACATTAAAGATTGTAAAAAAGTCATTGATTTTAAAGTAACTTAAAAACAAAGTACATTTCTTGTTGAGATCGTAGAGGCCAAGAAATATATAGACCAGGAACTGCCATTTCTAATGCGTCAAATCTGTGTACTGCAGTGGGAGGAGATCAAAACAAAGAATTCAGGGGCAACACATCATTTTTAAGGGAAAAGGGCCCAAGGGGTGGAATACGAATAAATTGCTATTGTATTTTCCATATTGACCATATTGTGTATTCGCTCTAACTTGAAATATTAACTTGTTTTTTGTTGGACTGTAATATCACATCAGAGCTGTAGTCCTTTCCCTTCACCTTCTGTGGGGGCACTGGGATTGTTTACATTCCTCCCACAGAGTACAGTACACAATTTGCGTATATATGAGTTGGGCGTTTCTGTATATAGATCCTTGCTAGAGGCCTCTGATTGTAGTCTAATCTAATGTTTAGGAGCTTCTAATCTCTCCAATGCTCCAAGATTTCAACCCGCTGCTCCAAGATTTAATCCTGCTCCTGGTCCTCAGCAACAACCCAGGCGAATAGTAGCTCTCCCTGCCGGAGCTACTCAAGTTGGCGGAACTCCTTATGTAGGGCAGGAGAAAGAGAGTTCCATCAGTTCAGAACAGTATACGGAGCAGTATGTGGATCAGTATACGGAGCAGGTTCAAACAACTACTAAACCCCGGCAGAGGGTTCTCCAGGTACTTTATAAAAGTGCAGGACATGTTCTTATTCAGAGGTCAATGGAATGTATCAAGGCCGGATAATTTTTGAAATTTTTAGAACTTTTATGTACCTAAGCTATATATATACCTTTTTCACATATTAAATTATAGTTGTTTTTTTTAGGTTTTTTAAATCGCCGGAAAAATGCGATAAAAAAGCGCTTTTGATCGCTACTAATCTAAGTAATCTTACTTCTATCTGTTGCGTCTATAAGGAGAAAATTGTTAAAAACGACCCACACCGAAGAACGCAGCGTCCATACAAATTCGGAAAGATTCAACATATTCAACTCTGATCGTAAACAAATCAATTTAATTCCAAACATTCAAACATTCAAATATTACAAACAGTAGTCATTGATTATTTTTCGGCGCATTCGTATATAGTTAATATTTCATAATATTTTTGATTTTTTTTTTAATAATTTTCGCTGGCGCTGGATTTTCGAACATTCCTGGAAAATATGAAAATGTCGTCTTCAAAATCAAAAATCCTCGAAACAGGAATGCATGTTTTCAAAAGTAACTCGCAGATCATGAAAAATACAAAATACTATGAAATATCAACTATTTACGAATGCGTCGAAAAATAATCGATGACTATTGTTTGTAATATCTGAATGATTTGTTTGGAATTAAATTGATTTGTTTAAGATCCGAGTTGAATGTTGAATCTTTCTGAATTTGTATGGACACTACGTTCTTCGGTGTGAGTCGTTTTTAACAATTTTCTCCTTATAGGCACACCAGATAAAAGTAAGATTAGTAGCGATCAAAAGCTTTTTTATCGCATTAAGCCTATATACCCCCTTTCATTTTTCGCGAACACTCCCTTTAATGAAAATCTAATCCAGGAAAAAGCTTTGGTTATAACATGATTCAAGGATATAATACTAAAACTTTTGCTTGAAAGTTCTTTTGGCAAGTTTGTGGCGAAGGTGTTTAGAGGTTTACGCGCTTTAATCCCTTCTTTTTAACTCTGACTTTTTACCATAAATGGTTTATTTTTAATCTTCGTGACAGAAACAATTCCTCAAGAACTGACGAGGGTCAACCCAGGCCGAAATATATTTTCATTAAATTTGGAACCAACATCTTCTTTTTTTTTTACTCTACAGAGGTTTGGTCCATCACCATCACCGAATTTTATATATAAATGGTCTATTCCCGGCCAATATTCTGGTTCGATAACATTTCCCTTAGACTGAGCGCACCAAGGAAGATTCAGCAGGAATCCCAATATTTTTTGTTTATATACAAAGTATACTGCAGTTTCTGGGAGAAAAATAAACTAACTCAATGCTACTCTTACCCATGAGTCTTTCCTGAGTCTTTATAAAAGGGACTGTAAGCGTAATTTCTAGTGACCTTACATGCTTAAGATTGTAATGCCAGATTCTCAGTGGTACCCTTGAAACCTTTATCTGATCAATAATTTGGAAGATTTGATAGTTTTGGTTTTAAACGTGTTTAGTTCTGATAATTTCTACACGTTTATGGAGAAACTACGAGTGAATATTTGACGATGTTTGTTTATATTCCTCCCAGAAACTGCAGTACAGTTGTTTTGTAAGCCAAGCTTTGAGGGTTCCTCGTGAATCTGTCTTGACTCTGCAACATACAGGGTGTCCCAACAAACATGGTAATTAATGAGACAATTTGACATTGTCTTCGATTTCCAATTATTGATAAATTACAAAGAGTGTACAAAACGTCTTACGAGATTTTGAAAATGTGGTCTGCATTCTTTGTATGTTCAAAATTGACAATGATAAAAAACATTTGAAAGATTTCGTTGCTATTTAATATATTAGAATCTCAGATTTCTCAATATCTCGACAGTCAATTTTAACATCCACATTTTGGAATTCCCAAGACTAGCAGGATCTTAAGCATCAACTGTTTTAACTGGAGTACCACACACATTGTGTTCACGTAATATACAATAATAAATGATAATTAAGACGATTTTAAAGTAGCCACTTAATTATAATGTTTATTGGGACACACTGTAGCTAGAAAAAATCTCGTACAAATTGGGTTGTTTATAAAATCCACTGTCACGGTTTCCTAACTGTCTCATGTTGCCAAATTTCTCTGATAAATTGCATCTTTCAAGATCGAAAACCCAGGTTTTGGATAATTAATTTCGGTTTCATGATTCAGGATTTGGATTGAGGTTTAATTTCCAGAATTTTTTTTTGTCTGAACGTGAGACACACACAACATGCACAAACTAGAAAAATGGGCTTACTTTTTTAATTCAGTGCTTCTTTGATTTTGGAAAATCATAAATTTTAATTAACAAACTGAGATTAAAGCCACCCAGCTTCTCTGAATGTCAAAAACTGACATAGCGACCAACTAGTGTTGATTTGATTTGTTTTTTTAACGTTAAAGTTATTTTTGTTCTCCGGAGACTCTAATAAAATCCCCAACCTCCTAAAGCAATGTTTTTATGAAATCATGTAAAATGTTGAAGATATTAGCCTAAATGTAGCAAACCCATACGTTCGGACGAACATAAGATTTTAAACTATTTAAAACACTGCTTGTTCTCCGTTGATTCAATTTCAACCGATTTTTAATGTTTTTAACTATTTTCTTCTTTTTTGTTAAAAGTGTTCTGAAATATTTCTGGCTTGTTGCTAATGACAGATTCTTCAAAATTTGTAGGATCTAGAAATGTTCAGAAATTGGCTGAAAATAAATTCCCATGAGTATCCATCGTTCAGAAATTTTTTTTGTTGAAACTTGACTACTTTCTTTCTCAGGTTGGAGAGAGGAATCAGAATACTCTGGGTTCCAATAACCAACAGTATCAGGGTACAAGACAACCTCAGGTCTCAAGAGGGGTGTTTAGTTTACCCGGAGCAGACCAACACAGGTCAGAAACTTATAAAAAACGTCAGGGTTATGTTGTAATAATTTTTTTCTCGTGCATTCTGTAGTATATAAACCTTCTCCCTGGTTCTATTCTTCTAAACCTTCTCCCTGGTTCTATTCTTATAAACCTTCTCCCTGGTTCTATTCTTATAAACCTTCTCCCTGGTTCTATTCTTATAAACCTTCTCCCTGGTTCTATTCTTATAAACCTTCTCCCTGGTTCTATTCTCATAAACCTTCTCCCTGGTTCTATTCTCATAAACCTTCTCCCTAGGTCCTTATATCCTAAACATTCTCTTTCAAATATTCCCGTCTTGAAATTTAAATATAGTTTCCCGACGAAATGCTTGTTCTAAAAAGTTTCCATCCTTGACTTGATATTTCCCAGGAAACAAAGTTTAGCAATTCTTAATTCTCGGAAGTTCCATTCTTCCTGTTCTATCCTAGTCCTATCTTTTCCATCCCCTAGTCCTATCTTATCTATATCATAGTCCTATCTTTTCCATCCCCTAGTCGTATCTTATCTATATCATAGTCCTATCTTTTCTATCTCAGTCCGATATTTTCTATCTCCTAGTCCTATCTTCTTTCCTAGTACTATCTTTTCTATCTCCTAGTCCTATCTTTTCTATCTCTTAGTCCGATATTTTCTATCTCCTAGTGCTATCTTTTTTCCTAGTCCCATCTTTTTTCCTAGCCCCATCTTTTTCCCTAGTCCAATCTTTTTCCCTAGTCCAATCTTTTTCCCTAGTTCCATCTTTTTCCCTAGTCCCATCTTTTTCCCTAGTCCCATCTTTTTTCCTAGTCCTATCTTTTCTCCTAGTCCCATCTTTTTTCCTAGTCCCATCTTTTTTCCTAGTCCCATCTTTTTCCTAGTCCCATCTTTTTCCTAGTCCCATCTTTTTCCTAGTCCCATCTTTTTCCTAGTCCCATCTTTTTCCTAGTCCCAACGGAACTTACTGAGATATAATATTAGTCTAAGCCAGCCATATTGTATTATGTCTGGCTCAAACTTCTATGAGTTCAACTTGGCTTAGATTAAACTAAATATCTCTGGAATGAAAATTAGTTCGGTTAGATTTATATAATAATCCACACACCAGGGTTTCTAACTCTTACAAAGTTAAAATAGATGCATAGAGCCAAAATTCAATGGTTTATATTTTCGTGAAAAATCATTTATTTTACGCAAAAGTTATGAGTTTGCACGGAGTTTTTTTATGGTTTAATTCGCTAAATGAGGGAAAATTAATGACTTTTGGGAAAAAAGATGAATTTTTGAGGGAAAAGATTAAAATATGAAGAAAACACTCGTCTTTTGATGTCCAAGAACAAGAAAACTTGAAAATTATTGTTTCATCAACTTTCTTTGCATTTAGGCAATATACTGAGGAGTTGAAGCTTGCTCAAGATGCATTATTAGCTCTTGGTTGAGACGGAGAAGGAAATTCCAGACTAGACGAGATAATTTTATTTTTCTTAAACACTTGTGATTTTACATAATTTTAATCATGGAACCTAAAGTAGTAAATAACTGAAATAAAATGAAATTTTTTCATCGATAATTTAAATTTCAAATAAGGATAAATTTTAGATAGACGAGAACATTTTATTTTTCATCATAATTTTATTAACAGATCCTAAAGTTAAACATAACTGAAATTAAACCAATAAAATTCTAAGCTAATTTTTTAGAGAATTTAATTTCATACAAAAGTAGAAATTTTAGACGGATGAGATAATTTTAATTGTCTTTTACACTAGTGATTTTACATAATTTTTTCAACACAACCAAAGGCTTTTTTTCAGAGATAATCTGAATTTCTAAATATTTTGTTGCGATGATACTGTGCATCAAAGTTTGGTATAAGTTGAATTAAACGTCGAGACTTCTTTAATCCTTTTCAAATATAAACTCAAATATACCACAAGTAGCATAGTTCATATAGACAATATTTTTCCCTTCCATGCCACATATTAGCTTTTTTGTCTTCCAGCAGCCAAGAGCCACTACTTTACAGTCTTCCGTGCCACAGCATTTGAGTGTTCCGGCAGTTATGCCTTTAAATAATATATTTAGTGCATTTAAATTAAAAAATACATTAACGTAATGCAAAATATATATTAAGACCTGTTACGTTTTTAATTTAAATAATGACGATTTTTTTTAATGTAAACTGCTAAACTTATAATCCTTAAAAATTCAATCTTTCCTGTAAAATGGCTTATTTTTGAAAACATGAATATTAAAAATGATGCACAATAACATGCACCAAAACATACTCTAAAGTTCAAAAGGCGCACATAACCAAAAATGCGCACTATTTAATGAGAAAATTGCAAAATAGAATACATTTTTGAGGTAATCTGTAATGATCACCTAGTTAATGCCATTTAATATTGTTATTTTTCTCATCTTTTCTTATTCTTTAGACTGCCCCAAACAGTTTGCCTCGGTGTCCTCAATGCGTAAAATGATTCATTGATCTGTAATTAACTTCTACATTTTCTTAAAGGTATCATCTTTCCCGTAATGCGGCAGGATTTTTGAAAATTGCAATTTCAAAGGTAAGTGAATGACAACTTGAAATTCTTCTTTCATTTCCGATATTTGATGAATGACAAACGAGAGTATTAAAAAATGATAGTATATGTCTTATGAGAAGTTTAGAATATGGTGTTCCTCAATTTTGAAGGTAAAACATGAGACCACATTATGGAAATACTGGAAATATTAGTTTTTGTTGCAACTGTGATATTATATAATTAATGTTAACGAAACAAGACCGTAATAATAATACTGAGATTTATTCCCAGGTTTTTAGGACACCTTGTACGAGATTAGGTTATAATACTTTCATGGAATAGAATTATGAGAAAATTATCTCTAAATACTAAATGATCATCCATCTTTCAACTTTAAAGGGACTGTAAGCATAACTTTAAGTGACCTTTTATTTAGATAGGTGTATACCCGATTCACAATGCGGTACTCTTATTAATTATTAATTTAAAAAACTAATTCTGAAAACATATCCACCCCCAAAGTAGGAGTTTTGAACGTCGAATTTGCGCTCAAACTCAGTATTTACAGATCTTTAAAAAGTTGTATATGTCTCAAATGAATCCTAAAGAAGTTTTTCACAACACTGCATACTCAGTTCAACTACCTTACATAGCCGGTCACTCCCTTTAAACCTTGAACTGACAAAGGATGACCGACTGTTCAATTATTTTGTAATTATTTACAGAAACACTTATCGTTGAATACTTATCTCTAGCTCTGTGAATATATCTCTAGTATTAATTATGTAGAAGTAACCATATACATGTCATGTTAACCGTACTAACAAGATTATCACAAGAGGGGAAAATGTTTCTTTATATACTATAGCTTAGAAACCCATGGTACTCATAGTTACTCCCGCTGTATACCCGCGCCGGTCGTAATTTACGATGTTAACTATTTTTCCATAAAAGTCGATCCACTCAAAGAATCTCAAAAACAGACTATAGAACATTCCCGTGATTCTCCCGAGTTCACCAATCAAAATTTGAGTCAAATCGTTTTTGAGTAATGATCGGTTATACAAAAATACAAACAGAGATGACAACTTTATAAACATATATAGATGCAGAAGAAATACAAACAGAGATTACAACTTTATAAACATATAAGATAAGTTAAGATAAGATAAAGTTTATTGTTAAATTACTTGCATCTGTAGAACGAGTTTACAATTACAAATTGATGATTATATTGACATTGGGTGGAAAACAGCTCTTGGCTGTTTTGATTATTTTTTCCACCTAATTTTATTAGAGATCAGAGTGCGATTTTATCTTATGCAAAGTAGTTTATACATTTGTTAGAATAACTAGAGTTTAAAGTAATTTTCTGACATGTACACAACAAATATCAAAGCATATTAAAACATATCTAATTAGTTTTACATGAATAGCAATTCGGTTTATAACACATTGTAATGTAATTTTCAAAAAGAGATTTTTCCAGTCTATTTTTAAATATACTTAAGGAGTTGCTTCTTAGACGCTACGTTTTTTAGTAGTCGTCTTTACAGTTTCATCTTTTGTGGGGAACGCTGTATGTAGTCAAATCTAGAATGAAAAACAAGCGCCCATCTTCTATTTCAATGGTCAACGCATTGTAAAAAAAAGTTCGCGGATTTCATAAAACAAATTCAAGTCTTTTTAAACAATTTTCTCCTTATAGACGCAACAGAGAGAAGTAAGATTTTCTCCGTGAGCATATATACCCCCTTTCATTTACCGCGAACACTCCCTTTAAGACGGAGAAAAATTATTTTTTTAATATGACGCTGGATTGAAAATTGAGAATTAAAGAACAAAATAAAAATTTTGCTTTCCCTTGAATCCCACACATTCAACAAAATTCTAGAATATTTACTCCCCTAACCCAAACCTTGAGTACGTCTCTGACAGAGAAATATTTTTTTTCAGGCTTGAATATGAAACTTGATGCTGAAATGGATTTGGCTTGTTTCGGAAATTGTTTTATATCCGTTTCTGTCAACTATATATATATAATATATATATTTATGTATAGAATGAGATTTATATTCATACAACTCCAGCATACAGGTGTAAAGAGAACTTTTTTCTATCTCAACTTCAAGGGTTTCTAGAAAATCAATTTTCTAACTGTTATATTAGTCGATCTGTTGAAAGCATGGAAATAGTTTCTATGGAGAGAACATAATACGTAAAAAAAGATCAAATCTTACTGAATTTTTTTCTAAAGTCACCATATTAACGTTTTTTCCAAAGCTTTGAATAAGGTTGTAAAACTATTTAGTTTGATGATTTTATCTAAGTATACTGCAGTGTTCGGCGTTTATATCAATACAATGAAGACGACTTTTCTATCACAGTTTTGATTTCTAACAATTTTTTTCAAATTATAATTTTACAAATTAATAAAGAAAATCTGTTAATTCACAGTTTCTTTTTTTCTTATGTTTATGTCAATATATGCTGTTTACAAGCTTAGTAGAAACCAAACTTGAAATTGAAAGTCGTCTTCACTGTATTATTATATACGTCGACGACTGTAAATATTCACAATGTACAAAACTATAACTATGGAAACTTTGACTTTATTCAACTCAAGTTCCCAGCTCTATATTAAAATATTTGTTTGATATTTTGAACGGTTTTGTAAAGTTTAGCAGATGGAAGACGATTCTAAAGTCGTCGCTTACATAGTTCTCATGCTAAAATTAGGACAGGAACCATTAAGTTATTTAAAACCTTTCTTTAAAAAATCTATGATTTTTTACCCTTAATTACTCATAGATTAATCATGTAACGTACATGTTAGGTTATAAATACATGTATTCCACTTGTTAAACGAAATAAAAATCGAAAAGAAGACGACATTGGGAAGAATTAGTTGGATGGAAGGTACTAAATCAGCCATAATTTACTAAAGAATGTCTTATGAGTGCTACGAATATCCTTAAATCCAACGTTTTTTTAACGAACAAAGTTGTAGAATTTATCAGTTTCTGAAGTGAAATTAAACGTTTTACCAAGTTTAGATGTCGTCTTCCAAATAGGAATATGGAATTTTGAAATGTCGTCTTTCCCAGAAATATTTTTGAAAACTTCACATAAATATATAGATCTAACAGCTTTAAATCAGCCAATAGATGTGTATAGGATATGGGGATTGGGATTAAAATCAATGCAAGCTACAATTGATACAATGTTTGTAAATGAACAGATTTCAGAAATCTTTTTAAAATATTTTAAAGTACAGGATGTCCCACGAAATATAACAACTGAGAGACGACTTGAACGTGGTCTTTGATCATTGATCTTTGTCGAAATTTGGTCGAAATCTAAACGAAATATTCCAGATCTCTGGTCATTTTCATAGGACGAAAATTCAGACCACATTTTGGATTTGCAAGAACTTGGAAAATTTTTGTTATTATTAATTCAAGATTTCTAATTCTAAAACAAATCATTCTGACTTTCAGAGACATATTTTGAGTTAAAAGATTTTCTTAGTGTAAAAGGGCTAATAAATGTAATTTCTAAATAAAAAATTTAGTAATCTATGTTTTTGTCTAATTTGCCTCAATTTTTGATTTGGGGAACTCGGTAAAACCACAGATCAGGAACATTTTTGTTTAACAATTTAAAGTTAAGTGGGTTGACTATTGAAGAGAAAACTGCAGACAATGTATATACTATCCATTAAAACTATATCTATATACCATATTCAAAGATTAAGTGAATAAGTACATCAAGGAGTACAAAACATACCTGAAACAAAAAGTTGTTTGTTAATATTTGCAATATAAAAGATATAAAACAAAAAGATATCAAGATTTTCCATAAAACCCCTGAGTACGCTTCTTCTATGAATACGACGTACTTTTGGTGGCGATAGTTCGGCTGCTATGATGTCT